AAAAAAATAATAGATACAGGCAATTATAATAAACTGGATTTTATCACAGTTTTATGAGTTATATAAGTGAGATCCTTGGGAAATATATGCATTTAAGTACATTTATCGCTTAACATCAATATGATTATATGTGCTACCTTTTTCAAATATAGCTTTGATGACCAGTAGCAGGATAAAATTCTCCTGTAAAAAGACATAAACCAGCAATTTTATTTTCTTTAGATTTTAGCGGATAAAAGGAATGCGCGTTTAGCAGAGTTTATTATCCTTGTATCCGGTTCAGGGATAAACAAATTCCGAGTTGTCTATTATTCTACAAAAATGCCATCTATATTAAGTAATTGTTTACAAATCCATTGACTTGTGGCTCATTTTAAATTTTTATTAAAAGTAATAAGTTTATGCACATTATAAAGGAATTAAACTCTTTTATTATTTATGTTAGCCATCTGGGTTTAAATAAGATCTAAAGATAAAAGATTGTAATAACGACAAGTTTTCTAAATCCTGGTTCCACCACATCTTTTAAATTAAAGATTAACTTCCTAGCCTAAATCCATTCAACTTAAGTTTGAGTATATTAGGCTCTCTCTTTTATCACAAAACTACGTACCGAAACTTTGACATTTATTTTCATATAACGCATGCTTACAGTAGCTCCTTATAATGTAATCTTAATCGGCTGTATAGAGGCCGTTCTTTTTCTGTATATATTGGATGCCTACCGAGCAGTAAATATGTTAAATTTACTTCTGTCGATATGTTGGTACAACGTTTAGAAATAAACATGAGAAAGCATATAAAATGCTTACACAGTATCAAAAGCTAACTAATCTTTAAGATATTCCAAATATGGCATTTAACTATACTTTACGTTAACTAGGTCAATCGAAGAAAAGTTAAATAGTTTAAACTACGCTCAAAAGCTCTGTATATAATCATTTTTTTCCAAATATCCCTACATCTTGATCAGTTCTCTAAACAGATAAGTTAGGAAGAATTGAACAGGAAATATAATATAATCCTTTACAACTGGCTCACCAAGAACTTGGACATTGCAACTTGATGAAATCTGTCCCAACTGATTTTTCAGTTGAACCGTATAGCGTCCAGTGTTTTTTCGGCGTACTTTGGAGACAGTCAATACAGAGGTCCCACATGGAGCCTGCTCCAATCCGTTGCCACTCCCTTTAACCAAGGGGGGTGGACCAGGTTCTGTAGTTGTAATCGCCTGGCTTCCGAGCTGTGTTGTGATGTCGTTATTATCAAATAACCAAGTGGCTACCGGGGGCGGGTGGCCGAACCAGGCGATAGGAAGTCGTAGGTCTTGTCCAGCCTAGGAGACGAGTATTTTAAAGGAGTGAAAACTTTTAGATATATAAGAATCTTAAATGTGCGCATGAGGAACCGTAAATGTGCATATATAAAGCCTAATAAAGCTATACCAGAATATATGGTATTAAAGGAGCCCTATAAGCCCTCTAACGTCAGTGTTAAATCGGTAGCTCGACTTTATCCTTAGCTCAATTAAAATATATATAGTCAATCGAAATCTGTACATTAGATTATGGTCTTTTGCACGAAAAGAAAACAGTTTATTAAAATGCGACAACATTTGTTCGGTCAGACCAGAAAATTTTAAATTCCAGTTTTTAGAGTTCTATAAAGTGAGATAGCTATGGGTAAGGAGAACAAAAAATAGTGTTAACTACAATACTGTAAACTAATTGAAGAAAGGGGGTTATAAGGACGGGAACTGATTAAATATCGTGAAAGCATTTGTCGGCTGACTAAAAAATAAAATTAAAAAATACGAAGCATTTTAGCTAGAGTTTTGGCGTTTATATCAAACATCTTAATTATTTCAAAATCATGATTAGCAAAAATCTGAATTTAATAGATTTTAAAAAGCGAAGGCTTCATTATTTCTCTTAGTTTATTTGCTATTAATTAAGGGGTTTATCGAACATCTTGCCAAAAGCCTGTCTGCCTTTTGCAGCATATAATTTATTCGTCATGACTTGAAAATTTTTACTAGTCATTAATAGTCGCCATAAATTATAGAACCATCCTATAAGGACTCTATCATTTTGAATAAACCATTTGGCCGGACATTTAGTCATAGAATAATATTTTTGTTAAGTGCATAAAGTTGAAAAAAAATAGAAAAACTTCACTGGAAAAATAACTATTTTTCTTTCCAATGCTAGCCATTATTTATGAATTAATTGGTTTAGGCCTAAGACTCTTAAATATGTGACATAGGTGAATCTATGCTCTAGGCAGTTTAAAATAAATTAATGACAAAATTGAAATATTTTAATTTTCAGGAAGCAGCGTCTTAATTATATTAAAATAAATATATTATTAGATAATAACAAGTAGCATCATATAAATGGTTAGAATATACTTTATAATTTAAATACACGCCATTTTAAATATTATTTGATGGCTGCGTGTGGCGATTGTAAGGTATGAAAAAGACAATCATCTCAATACGCTTTTCTGAATTTGCTAAATATACTTTAATCGTAATGTCCTTCAATCCACCAACACCAGATCCTTCTCCGCCA